CCAAGGCATTGGCCTATACACATAAAGCACAGCAATGAAGTAATAAAATGAACTAGGATCACACTAATCCAGCACGTTATTATTCTGCGTTGCCACACTCAAGCGGCTGCCATATTGAGTGGGGCACGTGAGATTGTAGTTGGATCTGTATGTGCATTATAATTAATCGAAATTAATCGATTAAAAAAACTTCGATTAATCGAACATGAAAATTTTGATCAGTAACAGCCCTAATAAATAAATATATATATATATCTGTCTTAAGACTGCATTAGATGTCAGATGCCTAGTAATGTTACCTTGAGGACCCATTCAAACCAGTGCTCTGTGGTAATGTGCAGTAACACACGTTACCTTAATTGGTATGCTGAGGCGCCCATCATTGTGACTGGCACCCCAAACATTTTCCCAACACAACTGCATTGCAGCATACCCACAACACAGTGACCGTAATAAAACTTGCTACTTGTGCATGTCCGACTTACAAACTGTTGTGTTGCTTTGCAGCCCATTCAAAAGAATAGGCTGCGTAATGTAAAGTATGTTAATGCACATGTTACCTTCATCCCCTAGTGGACTGTCCTAGTGGGAATAAACCCTAAGTGAGAGAGACTGGAACCTTCCCTCAGTTCAGCTCAAAAAAAGTTTGGAAAACCCAATAAAATAGGTCTAAAATATTTTAAAAACTACCTTTGCAGTGGGTCTAAGCCCACACTGTAAGGCAGGGGTGGCAAACACAAGGCCCGCGGGCCGAATCCGGCCCGCCTTGTATTGAAGTTAATGGCATCGCCCACAGTGCGATCGCCCGCCCGTCCAGTGCGATCTGCAAAAATAGTGCTCGCAGCATTTTTGCGGATCGCACTGGACTGGAACACAGGCACCTCCTCATCTACCGCGCATGCGCAAATTGTGGGCCGGGGTCGGGCAGCGCTTCGGGCGGAGAGGCAGCAGGGGATGGAGAGGGAGTGACCCGGGGTCCGGCAGGGGATTCGGCTGGTTAAGTGGCTGCGTGTATGTGTGGGGCAGTTGCGGGGGAAGCGTACTGTACTTTACCGCGCTGTCCACTGTCTGATGTCCCCACTGCTGCATCGCTGTCCCTGATGACAAAGGAAGCCGGCGCTGTAGAAAGCAAGGCTGCGGTGGCGGAGGGAGCAGAGCCACATTAGCCGATACATGCTCTATAGCGCCAGTTACTGTGACAGGCGGAGTGACACCAGATAACTTTGGATTGTCATACATTAAAAAAAGAAATAAGACATCCCCTGAAAATAAGACCAAGTGTGCTTTTTGGGGGCAAAAAAAATATAAGACCCTGTCTTATTTTTGGGGAAACACGGTACATGTATAGATTTGATTGTTAACCAGAGTTTAGCTATAAGTGGTAATCATTTTTATATCAGGTTGATTGGGGTGCTCTTTTTCACAGAACTGTTGAATTTGTAAATAATATATGAAGGCACAGCTGAATCGCTATTATGTTCCATCAGCTGCATAAACTGACCAAATCCAATTGGACAGCACTGATGCAGTGATTTCTATTACCTATAGTGGATTTACATTTTAACTGGAAATATGGTCGTGCCTCATTACCTCGCTTTGTATCCCAGATTTCTCTAATAAACACCCTGCACGCCGGTTTCCGTGAGATTTGCTTCTGTGCATTCTCTCTCTGTGCTCCTGTTTTGTCACAAACTGGTTGGCAGCAGGGGGACAAGGGCACGTGAGATGGCAGATAAGAGCTTGCACACCATGGACACAATAGGGGGCCCCAGAATACCAGAATTGGACAGTAATCAGGCTACAGGAGAAGGCCAGGGAGTTGGGGCTCAGGTACAAAGGACTTTCTAAGGAACAGTTGCTAGAGGAAGTCGGCCAGCAGGGTCAACTGGGCGCTGACATTGTTTGATCTCATCCCCGGGAAGAGGTGCTTGTGCTTGCCAATCCTGCCAGTAAAAGCCTGTGCGTTATATGGTATGAGGAAGAAATGGCCATTGTGGGGGCAGATGCTACAATAGAAAGGAAACTTGTGGCAATGTAGAAGGCACAAAAACGGCAACAAGATTGGGAAGCTGTAAACAACTGTGCTGCTGCCCCTGTTCCAGTGCTTGCAGTGAGGGAGGCCCCAAGGCTTTCCTGCAAAGACTTCAAGCCCTTCTAGGAAAACATGGGGGATGTGAAAGGGTTCTTCTAGGACTTTGAGCACCAGTGTGTATTGCTGGAGGTTACACCAGCAGACTAGATTCACCACGTGGTGGAGCGGCTGAGACCATCCAATGCCTATTATTGGGGAGCCTTTCCAGTGGGTGGCTGTTGACATCCTTCGTCCTCTGGCCTGCCCCAGCAAATCTGGGAAGCATTACATTCTGACAATTGTGGACTATGCTACCCATTACCCAGAAGCTGTGGCCTTGTCTAGTATTACAGCACATGCTGTGCGTACCTTTTGTGGATAAGGAACCTGACTGGGAACGATACCTGCCCCATCTCCTCTTTGCTTACTGTGAGGTGCCCCAGGAATCCACTGGATTCTCTCCCTTTGAACTACTATATGGGAGAAAGGGCCGAGGACCCTTGATCCTGCTAAAAGAGTACTGGGAGGGGCAACTGCAGGACACTGTGGTGCCCTACATATTGGAATTGCGTGGAAGCTTGAGCACACTAGCAGGCTTCGCTTTTGATCATCTCAAAGTTGCCCAAACCCGGCAAAAGACTTGGTATGACCACAAAGCCTGCGCCCGAAAGTTTATAGAGAACCAACAGGTTCTTGTGATTGTCCCGAACCCCCAGAAAAAGCTGCAGTCCACCTGGGAAGGGCCCTATCGGATTCTTCGGAAACTGAATGACACCACCGATGTTCTTGCATTTAAATGACCAAGTTTTTTGAAGTCAAGAACGCTGTTGAATTAAGCCAATCATGTAAAAATAAAAGATCCTTATTGTAAATCTCCCTATATGATGGTATGAATATATTTAACCACCTCCGGGCCGGCCGTAGTAAAAAAAACGGCCGGCCCGGAG